TATATATATATATATATATATATATGTGTGTGTGTGGGTGTGTGTGTGATTTCGTTGAGGAAAATATCTGTATACATGTTGTTCTTCCGCGATTAGGATAATAGGGATTATCTGCTTAGCCGAATTCTAGTAACCGATCCCCGGAAGAGATCACTTGCGTAATCGTCGCGATCTAACAGCGTAACAGAACATGTCACCTATTTATCCGCTTAATTAAATTCTAATAACTGATAATTCTAATAACTGATAAACTAATAATCGAATAACTCGAAAGAGAAGAATCATGCAGTCGTCACGACGTAACAATGTGATAGCCTCATCAATTTAGTAAGGCGAAAGATTGCATCTTGCACTTCGAATATAATAACTTTTAACACTTTTATTTTTAACATTTTTTTAGCGCTATATCGAGTCGCTATGACAGATTTCCTAACCAAAAAAGTCGTCAACTTTAACGCTTAAAATCTCGGTTCGCGAGGCAGACCGCCGCGTTTTTTTGCTAGATTCTTTTATTTATTTATCTATTTAATTATCCGTGCGTCCATCTCTTACTGGGTCCGTTTGAACCTGTGTCCGATTCATTTAACCTGCTGTGTCCAATTTATTCTGCGCAACTAGGACTCACTATTAAACACGTGGAAAGCATGATAATATATTATTAAATAGAGATACTAAAATTGTAAAATATAGTCATAAATTAATTAAGTGTGATAAATCAATATAAAAAATGGATTTATTTTTTACTTAAATTTATTTATATGGTAATAAAGTTTGTTTAACAATAATAAATATATATAATAATTCTTTTTAAAAAAAGGCATGACATTGATATTTGTATTTCTCGATATTTCCTCGAAGTTTATTGTTGACGCTTTTCCACGATGGATTCTCTCGCTATGCTAGCTTTGTGAATAACTGTCATTATATTGATTTCACAGAGGATCATTTTGACAATTGTGTATCAAAAAGTTAAAAATATTATAGTGTAACAGTAATATAATAGGGGTGACACCTGTTTGACCATGTCCCGATTGATCACTAGCCACTTACAGGAGCTAGCGCCTAGAATTTTTCAAACTGTTCAAACGCTGTGAGTGGCTAGTGATCAATCAAGATGTAGTCAAACGGATGTCACCCGTATAATAGTATTATATTAATTTTTGCTCTTGTGTTGAAAAAGATAAATAACGAAAAAAAAGATAAATAAATAAATAGTAATAAATTTAAAATCGTTAATATTAAACGAAATATATTAATAAATATGATATATTAATAAATTGATAATATAATTATGTAAAATACAGTTTTATAAATATACACATTTTATTATCTTTAAAACGCTTATGTTTTTAAATTATAATATTACAATTTAAGATTAACGTAGTTAATGTATTTAAAAATAAGTGGGAATAGTCAAAAGATAGCGAACCAATCAAAAGTTGCTTTTTTGTGATCAAATCTCAAATTTTTGTGATCTCTTATTATAGAGACACTATATCATTTAATTGACCTAAAATGATTTCTGCAGCTTTTATTTTATCTTCAACTATTGCAAGAATATAATTTTGCGAGAATAAAACATTCCAATTTGTTAATAATCTTTCAATACATTTATGTAAAATTAGTCATCTGATATTGCATAATTTTAGGATTTTGTTTCTTTCTATATTAAAAAAATTCTGAAACTCAACTAAAATTGCACATTTCTTAGCACTGCCCGAGATATAACTACTTACTCCTCGAATTAAATTTTTACATTCTGGCAATTTTTCATGCTTTAGTAGCAATTAATGCCGAAGAATGGCAAATATAATTAATGTAATAAGATCCGGTATTTCTAATTTTAAACGAGACATAAAAGAGTTATTGCATCCAATCATTACTAATGCATTATCGCTTGCCATTCCAACTATTTTGTAATGGTATGCTTTTCTCTTGAAGATTTTTAAAATTTTCGAAAATTTTGCTTGCAGCACAATCTTTTGCATCTACAGATATTATTTCTAATAATTTTATTGTTACTTTTTTATTTAACGGTGATAAATATTTAACAAGAACACAAATAATTTTTGTATCGGAAATGTCTGT